TGCATATCCTGATCACCCATTAAGGGTGATTGCCCTTCACCATTCATCGCCCATTAAGGGTGATTGCCTTTCTCCATCTGCATACAGTTTCATGCCCGTTGCTGGTTGGCTAACTAGCAACAGGGTCTTGCCAGCCAATGGAATTGTGTGATTACAAGCCAGGGGAATCCCATAAAAGAGGGCTCCCCTGGCCCAGAGAACGAGTCCGGATTTACTTTATGCCTTGCCAATAAACCAAGAGCCGACTGTCACTCGACTCGTGTCTTACTGCCTGCGCGATCCAACAATATAGGACAGGGGTAGGCCACCTTGGCTCTTTTATGGCTCGTGGACTTCAACTCCCAGAATCCCTGAGCCAGCCATGCTGAGGGGACAGGGAGAGGTTTCCATGCTTAGCCATGCTGGCTCAGGAATTCTGGGAGTTGAAGTCTACCAGTCATAAAAGAGCCAAGGTTGCCTATCCCTGGCCCAGTGGAAGATGGGGCAAGTGAGAAAAGTAATGTTGGGCCTTTCCAAGGCAAACTCCACTTTTCTCTGGGCATTGTGGCATGGCACATAGACTGAAGAGGTTTTGGCCTCCCAAACCAAAGGCAGAATATGAAAAATAAGTAGGTTTTGCTTCCCAAAGCTTCGGTCTACGATAGTGGTCTGCAACCCAGGATCTTGTAGGTGGTAGGGCAGCCATGACATCTTAAGAGGCATCAAATCCCCACCTCCAAGTGGATCTACTTTACTGATAGAGGTAAAGGAAAGGTCTTCAAAATTTAATATTAAAAGAGAAATTTAAAATTGAATTTGCTGCAGTGGAAATTTACTGCCTGGACAAACAAGCTTAACCAAAAACTATAATGGCTGGGAAACAGGAAAGGATAGCATAAAGGCGGGATGTGAGATAAATACGTAGGCAAAAATTAGCTGGGTCTTAGAGTGGGAAAGGAAGAAGGCAAGCTATAAAAACATATGTTAAGAGGAAATGGCTAGCCAGAAAAACGTAACTAAACTGAGAAACGGGAAAGAACCTATTTTTTCTAAGGGGCCCAGAACTCAAAACCAACAATTGAATATGTCTAATATTTTATATTATTAATGTACATGTGATGTATGATTTAGTATGTAGCAGGAAATAGGTAGGAGGCGGTCGGAAAGAGTAGTAACCTCGTAGTATCTCAGCCAACGGGGAAAGAGGAGGGATGTGGCAGCCGGGACAAGGCTGTATAAAGAAGGGAATATTTTGGGTTGAAACTTTGGAGAGAAGGACGAGGGGGGACATGATAGCAGTCTTCCAATATCTCAGGGGCTGCCACAAAGAAGAGGGAGTCAAGCTATTCTCCAAAGCACCTGAAGGCAGGACGAGAAGCAACGGGTGAAAACTGATCAAGGAGAGAAGCAACCTAGAACTAAGGAGAAACTTCCTGACAGTGAGGACAATTAACCAGTGGAACAACCTGCCTCCAGAAGCGGTGAATGCTCCAACACCGGAGGTTTTTAAGAAGAGACTGGACAGCCATTTGTCCGAAATGGTGTAGGGTTCCTGCCTGAGCAGGGGGTTGGACTCGATGACCTCCAAGGTCCCTTCCAACTGTTTATTATTATTATTATTATTATTATTATTATTATTATTATTATTATTATTATTATTATTATTATTAACTTAATTTCTGTCCATAAGGTGGCCCTGCTTTGGCGGATGGGGCCAGAGGAAATGTCATTTGTAGGCCTTGCACTTCGCAACTTCTTCTGCATTAATTCAGCTCTTCCACTGAAGGCAGGCGGGCAGAGAGTGGAGTAGCTCTCTCACTAGGAAAGTGTCAAGTGCAAAGAATCAGGACCACGTGTTGCGTTGCAGTTGCAGAATATTTTATTGCTCAAGCCTACACACAAGAATCCAGTCAACTAAAATGCAACACTTAAGTTCAACGGGAACTGAAGAGGGGTTAGGACTTGGATCATTTTATGGGAACATAAAAATTCTAGCCTTCCTTAACTGCACCACCCCCAGCTCTGCCTGCTGCTCTCCTACAGGACAGTGGCTAATTAAGGGCAGAAATTTACTCGTGGGCTATTGAAGAGGTCGGCATTTGGACTACTTTGGTGTGGTATGGTCGCAGCCACCATCTTGACCTTGTTGACGCCCCCCCCTCCCCGTGCCTGGCCCTTGTCCAGTTGGGTATCTCTTAACAGGAGCTGTTGAACAGATCGATTTTCTCCCGCCCGTAGAGATCAGCCAGAATTTTCTGCAGTTTCTCCAAGCTCCATTCTTTCACGTCGTTCTCACTGTTTTTTGCTATGGCCGCCCATGAGGCCCTCTTCTTCTGATCCTTCACACAGCAGGCTGCAGACCAGATGTGGCTAGGTTTATTGACCCGGTGGTCCGAGAGATACTCCTTTCCCGGAACCACCCCCGCAATGACGTACATGTCAAGGCAGGACTGAGCTTCCTTCCTGAGACGGTTTTCGTAGCTCGCCCAGGCATCTTGGTTGAGTTTGCTGAACTGGGGCACGATGTTAGTCAAG